TTTTCTCAAGAGATTGAGCAGAAGCCATGAAGTCAAATAAAGTTTATAAATTTCATGAATATTTTAAGATTAGAAATAGTGTTTAACTTAAGATGATTTCTCTTTTTTCATTTTCAAATTTTTCTTTGGCTTTGATGAGGGTGAAGAGAACTTCCTTTTAGAAGCTCTTTCTTCTTTTTTCTTAAAATAATTTTCAGAGGAGAGATAAGTTTCATTATTTGGGGTCACTGTTCCTTTATTTTCCTTTTTAAAAATCATAAATTTGTTTTTATTATTTTGAGAATAAGATCTATTTGCTTTAGTAAGGGTGGTGCATCTCCCTTTAGAATGGCTGCTTGCTTGCTTTTTTTAACCCTTAAAATTATTTTTTTCCACTGGAAGTATTACAGTGGGTGGGCTTTGGAAAGGTCGGGCACCTTATCCTTAGCAGGATTTCAATTTATTTCCTTTACAAAACACAGACACACAAACAAAAAAGGTCTTTGTGAGTAATCGGTTCAGGGTCTCTGCCTCTTCTTGTTTCTTCTCGGGCTCCTCTTCTCTGCTGGCCCCCTCTGGGAGCATCAGAAGTGGGGCAACAACCACTGCTTTGGAAAAAAACTCAGAGCTCATGAAATGTCAACTAAAAGAGTTCTTAGACAAATGAGGATCCTATGTATCACAAAAGGCCGTATGTTAGATTTTTAAAAAATCTATAATAGATAATTCCATCATTACATGCTATAAGCTGTCAAGTTTTATTTTTGCCCTCCCCCACCTGCTGCCTTGTTCAAGGAAATAAAAGGGTTAATAATGCAGAGGAAAGCACTCTGTAAAGTGCCATAGGAGCAGAAGGGATTATATAATCCTTATTATAATGCCCCTGAATTGTTTCCTGGTTTCTATGGATTTTTTTTTTTTTTTTTTTTTTTTTTTTTTTTGCCTTTCCTTGGAGGCACTTTCCTTTGGGCTGCAGATCTGCAGAAGTCCTAGTCAGAGATTTTAATAAACATTTAATAAGCGCATAAGAATTGTACTCTGAGAAACTAAAGACCACTGACCAATATTTCATTATCTTTTCTAGAACATCCTGTAATGAGTGCTTAGGAGCTCTTAGAATATACCAAATAAATCAGATGGTATCATCAAAGCTTGGCAAGGAGGGGTGAGGGAAATTGAAGACAAAAGAAAGTAATTTCATTCTGACCTTCAACAGGTTAAACATTTGAATCTATAATCCAAAGCTGTTTACAGTCACTGCAGATACTCTGTTCACTTAGGAAAAAAATTTATTATCCCCTGAAGCTAACAATATCATCATTAGTCTGCTGCTGCCAGGACTACATAGGATAAGGACACTTTCCAAGCCATTAAAAAATTGTTAGTAATTTGCTTCTTAATTATAGTTCCAATATCCACTCTGAAAATGGAAAGATTGACTGTATTTCCTTAAGGGCCATATAATCCATGCTTTAAATAAGCATTTAGTTCTCACTCTGAAACCAATGAGAACAAATTTTTATTCATTCACAGCAGCAGCCTCTGCATTGTTGGAAATGAATAGGTTTCAAGCTTCAGCAAGTGTTTATTAAGCAAAATCAGGAAGGGCTGCATTGTACTAGGCACTAAGAAAGGCCACCCCTATTTGTGAGAAGCTCAGAAATCACTAAGATAATAAAATATTCTGGTAGGAATCACCAGATAAGATATAAACATATGCCTGCAATTTGGCAAGAAAATGTACAAAAAATTTGTTTTGTGCATAAAATCTGTTCTGATATGGTTTGAGGATAATGATTATTATTGTGCAGTCATCAAGAGGGATAGACAGATCCCTTTTATCTCCCCCAAGAGCCATGAAAGTGTATTTCTCCCCAGATTTTCATCAATCACTTGTATGGTGTGATTTAATTTCATAGCTGGTCAAAACCCAATGAATAATAAAAAAAATGCCTTTCTTCAAGCATAGTTGATGGGAGAGAAACAACATGGTCTACTTCATATAAGCCCACCCCCCCAGCCCCCAACCCCACCCCACCCCGCCCCCTCCCACGCCCCTCGCCCAAGAGAGTTACAGTGTTGCTAAAGAATCAATTCACACATCCTTACTCATACTTGCTGCCACCAGGTGGGAGACAATGGTACATTTCCCGGGAATCGAAACATTTTAGAAAGGAAAGAAATAGACATGTTTGGTTCACAGACTGTGTTATCCTGGTAGCTATTTGGAAAGAAAGCATGAGCCCCCTTTTCTCAATTTCTACCCTCATGCTTGGCACAGAATTGCAGGTTCTGAAACTTCCCTGAAATCCCAAAAAAGAGCAGACTACAAGGCTGGAAGATGTTAGTTTTTTTTCTACAATACCAGTCAACAAAATTATCTGGGAGAGAATTGCGGTCACATTCAAACACCTGGTTTTGCTCATTTCATCCTTTGAATTATCAGGATAGTTTCATGCTTGCTATGTAGGATTTCATTGCATGATGAGACCTATATTTTCTTTTGTTCCCTGAGATTTTGTGTACATACGTACAGTATGTGTGTGTGAGTTAGGAGTGTGTGCACACTTGTGCATGTTGCATAGTTGTTTCCCAAGCTTGCCTCAAGGAGGCAGTGTTTGAGAACAGCATCACCCCAGCTAAGATGACAACCTGTTTGCCTTGAATGTTAGCGGGTGCTATTTGTCTGAGGAGGTTGCAGGAGAGAATGAATCTGTCACTGAAGATCAGATATTGACGGTGTTGGAAAAGGGTTTGGCTCCTAACAATTTGAGCATGTACCTAGATCCTTTGCATCCTTCAAAATTCTCCAGAGCCACTGATTAATTAATCTGCATGACTTTCTTAACGGATGTTCATGGTTCTTAACCCCATTCTACAGATAAGTGATTCATCAAATGTCTGGCTCTACTAAGGTCAAAGCCAAACCCCTGAGATCTGGTCAGTGCTGCCAAATGTCTGTGGGTCAGCTAGCCAGCACGTCTGACTGGGCACTGTGTAGAGGAAACTAATCTGATTCCCCTTACCTTAATCCTCCTCATCTGTCTGACAATGACATTTTCCTGTCAAGCTGGTAGGATATGCTTTCACACAGGAGCAGGGAGATGCTTTTCACGGTGGGAAGGGTCCTGGTCTCCAGTCAGCCTTCCAGAGGCCAAAGAGGAGCTGCAATCGCTGGGTGTTACTTCCTCATGTGTCAGTTTCACAGGCATGTTCCCCAAATTTCGCTTAAGATGGCCACAGGTCAGGTGATTCCTACTTGCCTCTTTCCCACCAGCTTAACGCAAACTTCCAAAAGACAAGAGCAATCACCTGGTGAAGGTGAGCTCCCAAATCTAGCCACCCCAACTTTGCCCTTCTTAAGATCACTGCAGGAAAGGGTATTTTCAGGAAGGGAAGGGAAGAGCTAGGGTGTTGGATTTTTAAAAAATTGTCAGAGTGTCCCACCGTCCTGTTTTATTTATTTTTAACCTCTGCACTTTCTTTTCTCTGTGAAACTTTTCATTTTAGCCTTCTTTTTCAGTAGTTCGTCATTGCAGATATTTTGCAAACTTAAGCCTCCCTACTAAGAACTCAGGAAGCAATCAGCGCTTCCATTTCGTGATGTCAACCTCTGCCCCTCCCCTTCTGCATTCTGCATTCTTTTAAGTGTGCGGTCCACAGGAGAAGGGTTCCTGAGCCCTGTCCTTACGGTCTGCCAGGCAGCAGGATGGACCGGCACTGTTGGTGTGTTGTGTTATTCGTTTCTCTCTCTCTCTCTCTCTCTCTCTCTCTCTCTCTCTCTCTCTCTCTTTCGCTCTCTTTCGCTCTCGCTCTCGCTCTCTCTCTCGCTCTCTCTGTCTCTCTGTGTGTGTGTGTGAATGGGCGCGCGCGTGTGTGTTTTCCTGCAGGGGAAGCTAAATTGAGGTGTGTGTATGCATTATCATGGTTTTCACAGTTTTGTGGAACGAAGTTTAGGAGAAAGGAAGAGTAGGGAGAATGCAGAGAAAGCAGGAAAGACAGGCATACTCAGGCTAAAGAGCAGGCAGGGTTTCAGAGTCCAAGGCAAACACGAAAACCTTTTCCTCCCTACTCCCCTTGGGCGACTGAGGGAGGATTCGCCACTCATTTTTTTTTTTTTCCTAGCGAAGTGCAACGATTTAGAAGGCGTTGCGGTAGACTGATAGAGATGAAGGTTCCCCTTCACACGTTCGACAATCCCGACTCCTATTTTCGTGTCTCTAAACCAGGACTCATGTACCATTCCAACTGGCCCTGGTGCGGGATGCCAGTTGCCCGTTTGTGACGCTGCGCATCGTTGTATCACTGCATTTGCACCTACCTGCTGGGAAATCTTGCAGACAGATGGAATGGTGGCTTCGACACACGCATGCTCTCCCCCTCCTCCCGGCAAACCCTTCCCTTCCCCTGCAGTGCCAGTGGGCGCCGCCCAGCCCCTCGTCCCCTTCCAGAGTACCAGCTCGCTGGAGCCGGCAGAGGCTCCGGGCACCTCCCTGGAGCGCTGTCAGTTGCGCCCAGCGGAGGCACCCTCTCCCCAGTGGCAGGGAGGGGGCCAAGCAGGCGGCGGCTCCGCAGCTTGGGCCTCTGCCGCAGTGACCGCGGCTAAGAGGTGTGTCCCACCGCCCCCACTCAATCCCTTCGCTGTGTGCTCGGGACCAGCCCCAAACACTTCTCCGGGTCTCTTGCGCTCCCCGAAGGTGTCTTCCTCCTCTCTTTCAAGATATTGGCGCTCACCGCACTGTCGCTTCTCCTCACTGGGAAAACTGCTCGGATTCCCACTCCCTGGTGTCACCCCCTTTTTTTTAGCCCCAAACAGCCCACTCTGGATTCCGACAAGTTGCTTCCCGCCTCCCAACCGCTTCCCAGTCCCCTGGGTTCCCCCATCCCTGCATCTTTCTCAGCATCTTGGCCAGCCAGTGGCAGACAAGCGGGATGCAAGGGGTACCCGGAGTCCCGTGGGCTCCATAGCTATCTGACTTCATCTTGCTTCTTTTCCCTGCTCCAGGGGGTCTTTTCCTTACCTTTATTCTGGACCACGACATTGGCGTTCTGGGCGATGGCAATGGCGTTGGAGAGGTCTTTAGACCCCTCTCTCGAGTGTCCACCGGACATGGCAATAGACCTGGTGCTGGACTCGGACGGGACTCTGGAGCCACCTCAGGGCAGAACTCTGGGGCCAGCTCTGTCACAGGTTCTGGGGTCGGCTCTGGGGCTGGCTCTAGGGCAAGTTCTGGAGTCAGCTCTGGGGCCGGCTCTGGGGCAAGTTCTGGGGTCGGCTCTGGGACCCGGTCTGTGGCAGATTCTGGGGGCAGCTCTTGGACCCAGTCTGGGGCAGGTTCTGGGGTCGGCTCTGGGACCAACTCTGGGGCCGGTTCTGGGGCCGACTCTGTGGCAGGTTCTGGGGCCGGCTCTGTGGCAGGTTCTGGGTCCGGCTCTGGGGCCGGCTCTGTGGCAGGTTCTGGGTCCGGCTCTGGGTCCGGCTCTGTGGCAGGTTCTGGGGCCGGCTCTGGGTCCGGCTCTGTGGCAGGTTCTGGGGCCGGCTCTGGGTCCGGCTCTGTGGCAGGTTCTGGGGCCGGCTCTGGGGCCGGCTCTGGGGCAGGTTCTGGGGCCGGCTCTGGGGCCGGCTCTGGGGCAGGTTCTGGGGCCGGTTCTGGGGCCGGCTCTGTGGCAGGTTCTGGAGCCGGCTCTGGGTCCGGCTCTGTGGCAGGTTCTGGGGCCGGTTCTGGGGCCGGCTCTGTGGCAGGTTCTGGGGCCGGTTCTGGGGCCGGCTCTGTGGCAGGTTCTGGGGCCGGTTCTGGGGCCGGCTCTATGGCTGGTTCGGGGGCCGGTTCTGGGGCCGGCTCTGTGGCAGGTTCTGGGGCCAGTTCTGTGTACAGTTCTGTGGCTGGTTCTGAGGTCGCCTCCGGACAAGGTCCTGGAGCAAGCTCTGGACAGGGCTCTGGTACCGGTTCTGGCGAAGGCTCGGAGAGCGGCGGCGGCGGAGCCGGTGGGGGAGCCGGTGGCGGTGGTGGCGGTGGCCAAGGCGGCGGAGGCTCTGGAGACTCAGCGGGCTGCTCTCCATCCTGAGGCGGGGCAGTGTCCTGGGAAGCTGCAGCTCCGCGGTCCATGGCTGCACACCGTCTCAGGTCTGGGCAGCTTGTGTCCCTGAGCCTGGAGGGCTAAAATACCGTCCGGCGCCCCGCCCACTCTAGTCCGGCAGCCCCTCGAAGGGTGCCAAACTTTTCCCCAGCCCACTCCATGGCTGGCTCAGCTCTGAGATCTAAGTCGGGGCGCTCAGCGTCTCCTAGTGCTGGAACACGCCCCTCAGTGAGCGCACACCTCTTCGTAAGCAGCCACCGGTCCGATAGGCGGGAAGCGGAGGGGCTTGAGAACGCGGACTGGGCAGAGCTCTTGATGACCTCCTAGCGACGGGCGGGAGAGGAGGGGAGAGACAAAAAGGGGAGGGGGAGTGGAGTGGCATGGAGGTTGGGGGGGCGGGTTGGAGCCTGGCCACATTTAACTCTTTAGTGACACGAATGAAAAAAAAAAAAAAAAGCCAGAGGAGAAGTTGAGGGTCTTTGCAATCCCCCAACCACTGAGCCATGAGCTGCTGCTCAGAACAGCTTCCACCCTTGTGTCTGCTCTCTCACCTCAGCAGCAGGTGAGCCTAGCCTCGGACCAACCTCTTGCTCCCCATTTCCAAGCCTTGATGGGCAAGTAAACCTTACCTTTTTATCTAAGCCGGGAAAAGAAATTAAGCGGCAAGGGGTGTGTGTGTGTGTGTGTGTGTGTGTGTGTGTGTGTGTGTGTGGTGGCGGGGGTAGGGGAGTTCAGCCTCCTTTGGATTGAAGTAAAATTTGCCCCTCTTCGGTTTTGGCATTTCTGAGCTTTGCTAGATCCAAGCGGTTTCCCATTAGGTACAGAGTTTGAGGTGATTCGGGAAAGGAGTGTGATGAGGGAGGCTGCAGCCCCGGCTTTCTGAAGCCTGCAGATATAGCCCTGAGAGTGCCCCGGCACCAGCAGCTGAGCTCCGCGCTCAGGAGCCGGGGTCTCCGCAGCCATCTGGGCGTCTGCCTGGCTCGCCTGTGCCATAAGGAGACTGCCTTGTGCTTTTAGCTGGATTTCCCAGCCATCAGCAGGACTTTTTAAAATTTTTATTTTATTTTATTTTATTTATTTATTTATTTATTTTTTAACCAAACTTATTAGCGCGCGCTTGTGCGCGTGCGTGTGTGTGTGTGTGTGTGTGTCTGTGTGTGTGTGTGTGTGTGTGTATCTTGGGCTGGGGAAATTCACTGCAACACCCACACCTTTTTCACCTCCTGAAGCACTCTGACATTAGAGATGGGAGATTCTCTTGCGAAGAGAGCGACTGATGCCTAGCGCAGCACCTTTCCCACCACACCGGGAGACTTTCTGTTATAGTCACGTACACGTACGTACAAACCATCATCTTAGTCAGACTTAGACTTTAGACACCAATATATTGCCAATTGTAATTAAAATTTGAGAAGACTACCCGTTAAGCCACAGCTGGGTGGTGGGAGCAGCAGGGGGAGAAATACCTGTAAACCTGATTTGAAATATGACAAGGGAATTTATCTCCCACACACATAATGCTGCAGTTGTGGATAGCAGCCCTCCTTCTGCAGCCCCTTCTCTAGCCATTTCCTCCCAGATCATATCTCCCACTATTCCCTCTTCTTTTGCCAAGGGACACTGACCTAGCCAGAATTTTCTAGAATCTGTAGCATCTTTCTGTTACCTATACTATGTCTCAGCAGTAAATAATACCACAAGAGCACAGTTTCACCTAACTCACTCCAAAGACCAGAATCTCTGGTGAGGTCTGCATTTCGCAGATCCTTGCTGCAGCATCACAGCCTAAGCCCACCTTTCCAGAGATGTGTTACACTACTTGGAAGCTACTAAGCTAGTGCAGAGACCGTCCTTAGCATCTGGGGATGGGAAGCCCAGGAGAGGTGAGCCCTGTCAATTCCCTCACATGGCAGTCCTCCTTCCAGTAAATTCACCTTAGGGGCCCACTCTCTTCACCATCCTTGGACTTGTTCACCTTTCTCCCATCCCACGTTCAAGTAGCCAAGCTGTCTTTAACCCTAAGAATTCAGGACTGAAATATACAGGTGCCAGATCTCATTATTGGATCTGGCACATACAAGTGCCAGATCTGATCAACCAGTAAGCCCGGGATTGGAGGTCACTTCTCAGGCTTTCACACCTTAATGAAATCCCTGTCCTTAGAAGGGGCCGATATCCCATATTTAAATTTTGCTTTTTACTAAACCCAGACATATAGTTAGAAAGGCTGAAGGCTGAGCAGTCACAGAGTAAGACAGCCTCTTGGGTTAGAGATAGCCTCTTGGAGTTTGGCATAGACAGTATATTGTCAAGCTGGATACCACCAGGGGACTGCTTGGAGTTACTGCTTTATTTATGTTTATTGAAACGCTTGTCTATAATTTACACTCAACTATAATGAGGCCAAAATGTATGATATAGACTCTTGCTACAAGGTAATTTTGAGACTGAATGCTAAAATAGTTGTTTGTATATGGCCTTTGCTCCATTAGGGTAGGTTACTGGAGATATACTGCCTGAATTGCATTATGATTAGTTCTGAAGGTTTTAAAAAATTATTTCTCAGCACATCATTAGCTACCTTATTGCCTCATATCATAGTAAGGATTTGTGTGTGTGTGGCAGGGATTCCTTAGCCCAGCATTGAATACAAACCTTTACATTGGAGGCAGTGTAGAGAAATGACCAGAATGGTTGACTGGAGCCTGATTTGTGGAGGCACCTTTGCTGTAACTAAGTTACACCTTCCTCTTTCCAATAACCTGCTGATTTCTTTACAAAGTTTTACTTAGTTGCTTCTGTATTTTCCTCATAACCTAACCCAGGGCTTGAGGTCTTAGTCAGAATTCAGGAAATGTCTGTTAAGTGGATGATTCATTGTAGGTTACTAGTTACGGTGTCTTTTTCTGCATTGCTTTTCAGCAGTATTTGATATTTCTAATGATTAATGATCTCCTAAGAGGCTCTTTTTAAATTAAACAATACTGATTTTTTTTTAAAAGGCCGAGAAGTACATAAGAATTTCTTTAACCAGACATATCTGAAATGATGACCGTATTCACAGAGGCTTGGATGAACATGGTTCTGGATGTTCCAGGGCAGAAATGGTCCTTAGCCTGGGACTTTTGGGCATGTTATATAAATTACCTGATTGGGCTGGATGAAGGATCTATCAGTAGATCAGCATGGTAGGCTCACATCTTTTGAATATACAGTGCACTATCTCACCCAACTGCCAACATTTACTCTGACTCCACCCAAAATAAAATTTATCCAAGCCAGCGTGGAGTTCTCAATTTCAGCCAGGCTCAGAGTTCTGGAGAGGCAAAGGAGAGAAAAGCTGAGAAATGTGAACAAGTTAAAGCTCTTCTCCCTTCTTGTTTCCATTTCATTTTCTTTTTTCTTTTTCTTATTTATTTATTTATTTATTTTAATTTATTTATTTAACTTTAAGTGCATACTATATCTGGCATTTCTCCCCATGTTATCCCTCCCTACCCTACCCTCCCTCCCCATCTGCCGCTGTCTCTCCCCTACCCCCACCAACTGCCCCCAGTGTGTGATGCTCCTCTCCCTGAGTCCACGTGTTCTCATTGTTAAACACCCACCTATGAGTAAGAACATGCAGTGTTTGGCTTTCTGTTCTTGTGTCAGTTTGCTGAGAATGATGGTTTCCAGATTCATCCAAGTCCCTACAGAGGACATGAACTCATCATTTTTTATGGCTGCATAGTATTCCATAGTATGTACCGCATTTTCTCTGTCCAGTCTATCACTGATGGGCATTTGGGTTGGTTCCAGGTCTTTGCTATTGTACACAGGGCTGCAATGAACATATGTGTGCATGTGTCTTTATAGTAGAATGATTTATAGTTCTTTGGGTATATGCCCAGTAATGGGATTGCTGGGTCAAATGGACCATTTCATTTTCTTTATTGAATGAGAGACTGGCACCATACTGCTAGAGGGGAAGCCCTTCCCTCCTTAATCAGTAGCTTTCAATTCCCTAAGTCCTGCCTTTTAGAGCAATTTGGGAAGAAATCAGTGTCTCTCCTGAGTGTTAGCAGCTGCCAGCCTCCCCTATCCTTTCCACCTTGGGATGTGCCAAGCCAAAATAGCAACCTTTATAGCAATCTACTAAATAAAATAAGGAGATGGGTTTAAGAACAGACAGCATTTATGGAGAAAGTAGAGGATTCAGACAATTAATTTAGATGGTATTAAAATGCAAACCTGTTAAACTTTACTCACTCTAGTCTCCTAGGGTTAATCCATAGAGGATTGGAGAGTTAAAAAGTTAATACCTTGCATTTGTATAATGTCTTTTGATTTTTAAAGTACTTTCACATATATTATCTCACTTCAGACTCTCAACAAATGTGTGAGGCAAGCAAATTCGGACTTTCATCACATACCCCTTCTCCCTACCCTTTAACAGATGAGAAAACACAAGTCTAGTGAGATTAAGTGCCATGTCTTAGGTCACAGACATAATTGGTGGTGGAACAGACATTTAGAACTGGTGTCACTCAATTCCCAGCTGAGGGAGACCAGAGCACAAAGCTGAGGGCTGTGAGCTGGGGGCTATGAGACAGAGACTGTGTAAATCCTCTCCATAGCAGAGTGGGATGGCTGCCTTAATGTTTTTTCTTTCTTGAGCCTGTCAAAGGAGCAGCGACTCTTCCATTTTTACCTTGAGGTTTCTCACGTCTCACTCTCTTTTTGGATGGCAGTCAATAATCTGTAAACAAGCTCACTCAAAGAGGTCACTGTTTAGAGGAAACTTTTTGAATATGTATGTAATATAATAATCCACCCAGGGTATGCTCATTTTATTGGTTCTGTTTTTATGTTTTTTTGAAGTGAAGCACTCCACAGTTAAGATGTATTTACTGCCAGTCTGGGTGTATACAGCCCTATTTTGTGCCCTGGAGAAGGAGAAAGGGCAGAAATATTAGATATGATCTTTCCCACGAGAATCGTTAGAACTTGGTGGTCAAGATAAGCCAAATACAGGTGAAAAGCCATC